TACCCATGAGCATTCATAATGCTGCTTAGAATATTATAAAAATAGATCTAAGTTACCATATTGTTATACTTTTGCAATTTGCTTATTAAAACTTAATATCCTGTTTTCAAGACCGACTCCATGTTATTACATATAGGTCTAATTAATTCACTTTCACTGACTGTATGGCATGATTATACCACAACAATTTCTTCATTTCTCTACTGATGACCATTTGCATTGCTCCTGATGTTTTGGCGCAAATAATATTCAGTTGACATCTGTATACTTGTCCCCTGGTGCAGGTATGTGAAAGTTTTACCCAGAAACAGAATTACAAGATAATAGGGTACAAGGGTTTATCATATCACTAGCTATTGCCAGATTGTTTCTTTAAAAAGATTACAAAGAAAAATTTGTCTTAAACTTTGTCTAGGACAGAAGATTTTTGTATTTTATAATATAAAACCTCTTTATGGTAAAAGAGAAAATACGTATTTATGATAAAATGCCTAGGCATGTTTCTGATAAACTTGAAGAGGAACTAAGATGCTGGAAAGCTAGTTACTCACCCACCTGAATTGTCAGCTAGCAGTCATTTATGAATCTAATTAATGATTATATATAGCTTTTCTTAAGTACTTTTTTCTTTTATGAGTAGGCTAATCTTTTATATTATCTATAGTATACAAACATTCTCATTTTTTCCACATCTTTGCCAAGACTTGTATTGTCACAATTTTTCATCCTTACCAGTCTGATCATTGTAAAAAGGCATATCATTTTTAAATATTCAAATTACTTATTTCACTGAATTTTTAGTGAGACTAAACACCTTTTCTTACATTTATTGACATTTGAATTTCCTGTTCAGTGAATTTTCTGTTCACATTCTTTGCCCAGTTTTATCTTGGGTTGTTTGTCTCTTGCTTGTTGATGTAGGAAATTTTTGTGTCACTTATACATATTTCACCTTATGCTTGTCTTCAACTTTGTTAGAGTGTATTTTGCAATACAAAAATTGAAACATTTATTTAGTCAAAAATATTTATTTTTTTCAGGATTTCTGCTTATGTATCTTAAGAAATTCTTTCTTATCCTGAGGTCATAAAGATAGCTTCTCATACTTTCTTCTAATTATAAGGTTTCATTGATTACATGCAGACCTTTAATCTACCCAGAGTTATGTTATCTATATAGTGTCTTTGTTATTCTTGGAAGAAAGGGAGAGAAATGATGGCCAGAAATCAGAATATTAGCTAAGCTTTACTGAGAAGTCACAATGGCAGCCACTGTTCTGAGAACTATGTATGAACTTATTCAATCCTCATACAGCTCTATGAGGTAGTAGCAGACATTATATCCACTGTATAGATAAAGAAACTGAAGCTCAGAGCCAAAGGCTTCAGAACTGGAAAGTGGCACAGTGCGATTTTAAACCCAGGAAGTCTGCCTTCAGAGCCATGCTCACCTATTCTCATAGGCATGGGAGTCAAGATAGGTATGTTATCCTATTGTAATACCAAAACCATAGTTTTTAACAAAACAAAAGATTGCCTCTTCTTTATGGGAAGTTTGTAGTGGGTCTGGGTGGCTCTCCAGAGCAGCAGTCCCCCATGTTGTGGCTCAGAATTCTTTGCCCATCCGCTGGCAACCTAGTATCAACATTTGCTTCTACAGTTACTATGGTAGGTGAAGAGAGGGGACATGGAGAATCACATAGTTGTTTCTAAAAGTGTCTGACTGGAGGGACACGTATCCCTTCTCCTGTTTCATTGGTTGAAGCAAGTCACATGGCCAAGCCTTACTTCAGGAGGTAGGGAAATGTTATCTTCTTATGTGCCCAGAGTAGAGAGGAACCAGACATATTGTGGTTTCATTGACCAGCCGTGTGACTTCCAACAGGTCCCTTTGCTTCTAATTTTAATTTTAATATCTGAACAATGACGGGATTCACTCATTTATTCAGTTGGTACCCATCATTTATTGGGTACCACCGTGTGGCCCTGCAAATGCAATGATAAACAGGGTGCAACTTCTGTCCTCAAGTGGGTGGCAATTTAATAGCTATCTTACTGTTGATGTTTAGTTCTAAAATTCCAGGATTCCTTTAAAAAGCAATTGCAATAACAAACCTTCTAGAGCATTACATGCTAGAGACTCAGGCATTTTCTTAAGAGTTTCTTCCTTTTAGGTGTACGTGAATCCCCTTGGCTGCAGTGTTAACTCATTTCTAGCAACAGATATACACATGTACATCCCTTTCAAATTCCTGGTGTATGTACCTAGTGGTGCATGTGGGGGAAATAAAGCAGACTTTGGATTATTCTCACAGCTATTCTGAATTCAGTGGGCAGAACACTTCATTAAAAAAAAAAAAGAAGAAGAAGAAGAAAATCAATTTAATTGAGAAATACCTGGAGAGATAACTTTGCTACATAATGTACATTCCAGATATCAGAGGGTTTTCTTTTTATTATCTATGAATAAATAAAATTACAAAACTAAAGATTTCAAAACCATTTTGATTTGCAGTTAATTTTTCCCTAGAGGAAAGTTTATTGATATAAAATGGAAGAAATACGAAGAAGCATATTTGTGAGCATGCACAAAACTGGTTTGCCAATTTAAGAAAAAAATCTCTCAGGACTTGAAGCAGCCTGCCAAGTGTTAATTTACTAGTTGCCTGCAGTTAAAATACAGTTCACATGAAAAATTTATAAGAAGTTGAGGCATTGTCTTTAGTCGTGATGCAACAGTTTAAAATTTGAATGAAATATGCAAAAAAAAATCCATTCTACTTTACATTGATCCGATTATGGCATTTCCTTTATTCTTACTACGGCAAGTCTAATTCTTAAACCAAAGCCAAAAAATAGTGATGCAATAGTTGGACACATTAAATAAATTTCTGCAATAGTTGGACCATTCTAAATAAACTTCTGATTAATCACACCCATTTGTCATTCTTCTTACAATCCTTTCACACTTAGGTATTGAGTCGTTTCACAATATAACAGGTTTTGATTAATCTGCTACTTGTCTGTACTTTGAATTTATTTAATATTGGTGTGCTTGTTCCCCTTCTAATAATAAAACAAGGACAAAGACCATGATCATATACTCTCAGAACCTCTGATTTGCCCAGTAAGCATCCCATACCTATTATTGGGCTTTCTTGAAGGCAAATTAAGGGTAATCAGAATCTTTGAATATGTGATGGGCTTACAGCAGCTCGTTATATTTACTAAGGAGATACCAATAACCATTCTCTATTCTCATTGTCATATTCTCCCTGAGTGATCCGATAATTGCCGTGATATCAAGTGTTACCTTATGACTTCTAAATCCATGTCTCCAATAATGGCTTTCTTCCTGAAGTCCACACAGGCATTTCAGCCACCATCACCATCTGGTTAACTACAAGATAATTCAGACTCCAAATACATAAATGAGAATGCCTTCTTCCTCCACCTCCGCTCCCTTTGTGGTCTGTTTCTCAGAAGCATGCCCTCATCCACGCAGCCCTATGATGCACCTGGAGTTATCCTTGGTTCTTCCATTTTCTTTATCAAGAACCGAATCCTGTGGGTTCTACTTTCTTTAATAGCTCTTGAATCCATCCTCTCCCTACAACTTCCAACTTCAGTTCAGACCTTCATCTCCTACCTGAGTCTAGTAATAGCTTCCTAAGCAGCCTTCCTATCTCCAGCCAGGTTTACTTGATTGTTTTGTCCATACCCAGGCCTATGACTTTTCTCATGCAAACCTGCTCACGTCAGTGTAGATACACTTCCAGTTTCACTCTTTGAGTGAATGGGTGAATGGGTGCAATTCCATATTCTGGTCCTTTTCCAGTTTGGCCGTCTGCTCAAGAGGTCTCACTTGTGTCCTGAGAGCGTTGCCCCTGTGTCCATACTCTTAAAACACTACGTCTCAAGTCGTACTTGCCTGTCTCAATAGAGCTCTTTCTCACCCTGATCATGCTCCCTCTCTTCTGCCCACCTTATTTTCTCTCTCTCTCTCTCTTTTTTTTTTTTTTAACTTTGTGGCAATTGTAGAGGACGAGGGGATGAAGAGAAGTGTGGGAGGGAAGAAATGAAAGGCACCAAAGAACTGGAACCCAATTTCCTGATGCTCTTTCTCTTTTGATCCTAGAGTCCATGATCTGCTTCTGTAAAAACGCTTTCTATTCCATATCGTTTGTGTAGTTTTTGTGTGTCTCTGAGTGGGCTGTGTTATGTCAGTCCGTGAGCCTCAAACAGCAGTGTTGAGAATCTGATCAAGCTACTCCATAGTATTGGTGCCTCGGAATCCATTTTGTTTGGCCAAGTGGGCTGCAGGGCACTTAAACTGACACTAATCCCTTCGTGCCCACTCATGGCCTAGATGGCAGCCTGCATAGTCACAAGCAAACACACACTCGTGGTAGGACACTTCTAATGGCTCTTGTGATCAATAGTTTCCTCTGGTTCCGAGGGCCTTCTCCTGGTGTGCCCTTTAGATGGACTCTGGCAAGGCTTACAGAAAACTGCTCTTTTTAGTTTGAATTGATTCCTCTGGCCTTTGCCTGGGAACTTCCCAAAGCCCTCCACCCACAACTGCAATCAAGGCATCTGTCCCAGGCCCTGCCTCTCTCTCTGCCTGCACCTTAATTTGACCTCCCGCTGTGGCCCCTAGAGGTGTGCTGTGTACTTCCTCCAGGACCAGTGAGTAATAAATTTCTCTATTTCAATTTCCCTTGTGGTATTTTGTTGAACTGGGACTCACCATCTGGCACCCTGTGTTCCATTTAACAAACGTTAATTTAACAGTCATAACAGGCAATGACCCTATCTACCAATATCACTCTGTCCTTTCAATGATTACCACATGAAAATCATTACTTAATTAGTGTTTTTTGATAATGATGCTAAAAGGCACAGTAAAGAAGAAAAAAATTGAACTGTTAAGAAAAAGGCAAACTGTTTCTAGATAATCTTGAATATTAGTTTAGAATGTCCAAGGAAACAAACACTTACCTTCTGTTGTGGAAATGTGGACTCCATCATGGCTGTTTCAAAGCTGTGAGCACCTTCTGCCTGGGTCTTCTCCCACAGAGCTCTGAGGAATTGTACAGAATGACTCTGTATGGACAGGGGCTCAGGAAACAGACTCTGAAAGGGCATTAATGAGAAAATCATAACATTATCTCCTGTCCTAACAATATTGTTTGATCAACTACAACGTACTATTTGGGTTGAAATTCAACATGGTTTAAATTTGAGGAAAATAGCAAAAAAAAAAAATCTATCTTTAAGATGAGACATATATATTTTAGGTTTTTCATTTTTTTTAAGATTTTATTTATTTATTTGATAGCAAGAGAGGGAACACAAGCAGGGGGAGTGGGAGAGAGAGAAGCAGGCTTCCTACTGAGCAGGAAGTCTGATGTGGGGCTGGATCCCAGGACCCTGGGATCATGACAGACGCTTAAGTGACTGAGCCACTCAGGAACCCCTAGGCTTTTCATTTTTTATTAGAAAAGTAAAATTAGGATTTCAAGCCAGTTGATATTGATCTCTAAATATGCCTAACCTGGGCACCTGGGTGACTCAGTGGGTTAAGCCTCTGCCTTCAGCTCAGGTCATGATCTCAGGGTCCTGGGATCAAGTCCTGCATCGGGCTCTCTGATCAGCGGGGAGCCTGCTTCCTCCTCTCTCTCTCTCTCTCTGCCTGAGTCTCTGCCTACTTGTGATCTCTCTCTGTCAAATAAATGGATAAAATCTTAAAAAAAGAAAATAAATAAATAAATAAATAAATATGCCTAACCTTTGTCATGTAATGTTTACCTTAATCATTTCTCAGGCATGGTTACTTAATTGGAATATGGTTATTATAAATATTCATATTTATTTGTCCAAAGATCTCAGAATTATGGTATAAAATTAAAACTAGAGTACAAATATCAAGTCTGTTTATACAGAGTAGATGATGAAGGCTAGAAATTAAATAACTAAGAGTTCACTAGGCAACAACTCAAATATGAATAGTATAAATGGATGGTGAGGAAACAAAAACACTTTTTTTTAAAAGATTTTATTTATTTATTTGTCAGAGAGAGAAAGAGCACAGGCAGAGACAGAGAGAGAAGCAGGCTCCCTGCTGAGCAAGGAGCCCGATGTGGGACTTGATCCCAGGATGCTGGGATCATGACCTGAGCCGAAGGCAGCTGCTTAACCAACTGAGCCACCCAGGCGTCCCAACAAAAACACTTTTAATCTTAAGATGTATAAGAGGTAACTATTTCCAGAGCTAATACTCTAGTTTTGGATAAAAAGATTGTTCATGTAAAAATCACATTTATACATATTTCATTCAAGTCAACGACAATAAAATTTTCAAAGGAAGATTTAAATTGCGTTTATATATTTACTAATCAATCACGGATTTAATAGTCATTTAAACATTGTGACATGATATTTATAAAGTGAGAAGTATTTTAATTGGAAGGAACGATTTTATAAAAACATAGAACATAATATAGGTCATAAAATATAATTTACGTACATATAATACCATACATTTTATCCTTTATGTGTGAGGTCTGATAAATAATGATACTGGCTTACAAAATTTTATTTTTTGTGTTAATGACTGTCCAAGCATTAGTTTATCAGAATTTAGGTGGTCTGTGTGTCTAAAGTATCTATTTAGTAAATGAAAATTAGTAACTTTCTTCCAGAAAAATCTAATTATTATCATCATCAAGATAAACTATTTCTTATGCTGAGTGGGGAAATGTGGAGGATCTTAGACCCCAAGTAAGTGGTCCACAGATCAAAAAAGGCTAAGAGCCATAACAGATAAATTGATTATACCACCGATAATGAGGACACATCTGGGAAATTCTTGATTATTATCAGAAAATTACACAGCATGTGATTTTTCACTTAAAGAAGAACAGGACCTGATTCAACAAATCACCATTCCAAAGAGGACCAGTTAGACTGGAATCTGTGAATTTAAGAATTCCGTGAATGTGTTAACAATGTGTTAACTTGACAAAGAAAGGCAAAGAGTCTGACCCAGCATATAAGGCTAGTACTGGGTTTGTAATGACCAAGTCAAAGATTTGATTTTTCTTGACCCCAAAGTCAGGATTCTCCCAGGCTGCACAATATCAAGGTTGTAGAAAAAGAAAGGAACACTGTAAAATGAACAAAGAAGAAAAGCATCATAAACAGATGCTTTCGGATGATTTTGTTAAAGAGAAAAACAAAGCATCAGACTTAGTCACTAAAATAAGACTGAAGGGACAAAAGTAAATCAAGTTATTTGGTTTATTTTCAGAAAACTGACAAGTAAAGAACAAAGCTAATGATGAAACCAAATACAAACTCACTAATGGAAACTATTTGAAAAACATAAGCAAAGCAGAAGAAAAATAAGGTCATTTCAAGAAAAGGAAAAACAAAACCAATTCTGGTTTTTATACTCACATACAATTTGATTCACATCAAAATGTAAGTTGTTCTCTATGAGATATTATTAAGTGTTCTTATTATTAAGTGTTTTAAGTGTTCTTGTTAAGTGTTCTTCCTATAGGAAAAGATGGTTTTCCTAAGGCATGTCTAAGCAGTCTCTTTTCTTTCTTAATTACTATAGTTCCATTTTATGATTATGATCTATTCAACATTAAAATTCATCTTTTTTAATAAGCTTACCTTTTCTTTATAAGGAATGCAATTGGTTGTTAGGGGTTCTTATAGAAATATTTTATTAATAGAAACAAACTATACTATCACTTGACCTAATTTTTACCTGTTTTACAACATTCGTATTCTGTTTTTCTGCCTCAACTCTCTCTGTTTCTGCCTGAAACCCCCCATTTCATTTTTTAACACACGTGCTACTAAGAAAAGACCACTGAAAAGGGGGCAGGTGGCCTGTAGTCTTCATTTAATTTTCTTATCTGTAAAAATGATGGCTGATACTCCTTCTACTACTAATGTTTTATAATCTATATTCAACTTTTATGTGAAAGTTAACTTTCAAGATAAGTATTTCCAAATATTCAAGGATCTCCTCTGATGCTAAAAGCTTTGCATCAAGTTATTCATTAATTGGAAGTTTCTCTTTATGTAACTTTACCTATATACATAAATTCTATGGGAAAAAAAAAATTCCAGTATCTTAATGATGTCAAAAAGGATATGTTGACACTAAAATTAATTGGAGATCAGAAGGCTGTAGAGAAATAAAGACAAACACTACATAAGGAAAGTTATTCCTCCAAATAAGCTGTTTATGTTGTCATTTAACAACAACAACAACAAAAAAATATATATATGGATATATATATATATATATATATAATATATATTTTTTTTTTTTTAAAGAGAAGAACATTCTCTTCTTTTTTAAAGCTAAGAACATTCAAGATATTACTAGGTTTGGCCTCCTTAATACCAATCCAAATTCTTTCATAAAGAAACTGCCCTAAAATATAAAAAACTCATGTTAAAAATTATTAGTGAAATGTGTATGCATTGCTGTTATTTATTTATGAACTCTAATCAAAGGATAATTCGGTAAAAATGGTTATAAACTGATACCCCCTAACTCACTAAGGAGCCATGACAAACATATATATACACACCTGCTGAAAGAGAAACATGATCTGGATCCATGGCTGAGGTTCTTGGCTGATGAGTATAAAACTGGATTTACTGTAGAGGCAGTAATGACCCTTCAGGGAGCAGGTGAAGAACAACTTTGCTACACAACTTCTGACAGAATCTAGAAATGAATAAACATAGCATTACACATAGATTCTTCTAGAGTTGTACTTTATACTTCAATATAGAAACACCTTTAGAAATACTTTCTTCAGTTTCAGTCTGCAAGCGAGTAACTCCGAACAACCACGTAATCAGGTTCCATTTCATGGAATGTAGATTTAACTAAAGAGGTCTTCAACAAGTTATATTTTTTCTATCCAACTTTCCCTTGTTCTCATTAATAAAGCATCAGAAATCTCCAAACAACTCACCTGGAAGAAAGAAAACCTGTCACCAATAAAAAGGGAGAAGAGTGTTATTACTATCTGATTAGGCACTTTGAAATGATAATGTGGGAAGGATAAGCAAATGCAGAGAGGAAACCCAGGCATTTTCTGGGGAGTGGATAGTATGCCATGAGCCAGTAACATTGTTCTCTTGGTTGTGTAGGGGCCACAAAGATAGACTCCAGAATAACTCTGCCAGTGGTGTGGCTTCCTGTGAACTAGCCTGGTGTGGTTTGAAAGTTTATCTTATATGTTGAAGAAGTTCAGTAGGGAAAATTAATGAGATCATTTTTTAGGGATAAGGAGCCAGGGAGGGTGGTGGTGGTGGTGGCATGGAGCAGAAGTGGCAAGAAGCCACAACTAGGAGGAGCCATTTAATTTTTACACCCTACAGGATGGGTGTTATTATTTCTATTTTATAGCTGAGGAAACTTACCGCATTAGTGGATCACTTAGTGAACCACTATGAATGCCTTGGACAGATGAGTGATGCTCAGGGATGCAGAAAAACTGTGGCAGAGCCAGGATTTGAACTCAGCTGAGCTGATGTCACATTAAGATGCTTTAGGCTCTAGCATACTGGGAATTTTTAGATCTGTCATATTGATAATGCATGAGGTATTTATTCTTTCAGAATTAAGCTGATATTTTAAATGAAATATTTTGAGAATTAATGGATTTTAGTATGTACTACTTTTAAAAATGGAAATATGGATTACAGTTTATTAATAAAGTTGATGGGGACCCTAATTAAGTAGCAGTCAGTCCCCACCTAAGAGGGTGCTTGGGGTCCCTAGAGAATTGGGTAGGCCTATCTGTGCACTATAAGGACTGAGATGTGAGGAATAACAGGCTTTTCAGGAAGAGCTTAGAAAAACTAAGGAAGAGTGACCAATGACATATTAAGGAAGAGGACAAGGCATTAGAAATAAAATAAAGTCACCTGTCAATTTAGAAATATATACAGAAATCTTAACAATTAACACCTTTCTGTCATTCTGAAACACTGGTGTGTAAGAGGATATTTTTGTGAAGTTAATTGTTTTGGGGAATTAAAAAAATTGGGTTGAGCATTCAATATCCTTGTATAAAATCAGAAACCATTTCTGTATTCTGTGGGTGAATGAATTATGAGATATAAAAAGTGACTGAAGTTTCAGTGGAAAAGACCAAGAGGCCCTCCATTGAGAAAGAAAGAGCTCAATGTATAGAATTGAGCATAGTTTTGGCTTAAAATTGCCCTATCAGAAATTATTTGATATGGTAGCTAAAAATACTTTTTTGGGGGGCGCCTGGGTGGCTCAGTGGGTTAAAGCCTCTGCCTTCGGCTTGGGTCATGATCCCAGGGTCCTGGGATTGAGCCCCACATCGGACTGTCTGCTCTGCAGGGAGCCTGCTTCCTCTTCTCTCTCTCTCTGCCTGCCTCTCTGCCTACTTGTGATCTCTGTCTGTCAAATAAATAAATAAAATATTTAAAAAAAATACTTTTTTGGTACAGATATTCTGGAAAATTGGATTTAAATTAATCACTACTAGAGAAACAAGAAACCAAGTAGTCCACAAAAGCACACATAAAAATGGTATTTGAAATAAAGCTAGCTGTGATGTATATGCTGAGACAGCAAGCAGTATGTTTTGCCTTAATAGAAGGGTTCAAAAGGGAACAAGTTCTTTCCTAAAAACCTATGCAGTAGCTTGACAGTCACAAGTTGGACTTCAGGCCTCTACCATGAAAAAAGTTTTTGTATTTTCCCTTTCCCTAAATATTCTCACTGCTCATTCATGTTTTCTTCTGCAAATTAAAATTGATTAGATATATTTTACTGACCTGGAGTCTACCAGTTTTCTATACATAAACTACAGGGGTCCCAGATCACACAAAAGAGGCAAAGCAGTAGAAGATAGAGGTCTTTAACTTAGAAGCAAATATGCTGGCTATAAAAATAAGCTGGTTCTGAGATATCTTCTGTTAATGCTTTCTATAACCTGATCTGTAGCAATATTTTTTCCTCACTTTTTTCAGAGCTTTCCTAACTTGGAAAAAATTCCCACAACATTAACACTTGTTTTTCTCTGCAATTTTCTCCCTCATGTTCACTCTGTGGTATTGAATGGTAGGCATGCAGTAAATGGTTGTTGAATGAATGAATGAATGTCAAACACTACAGGGACAGCCAGAAGGGTCAGGATGTTGACCCTGCTCTTAAGAAGCTTACAGCCAAATGGGAAAGACATCTATAAGCAAAACATAAATTGTTTTAAGTCCATGGGGGTAATGGAGGGACACAAAATTCTGACTGCTCAGAGAAATGAGTAGCTATTTTATTTGGAGAACAAGGGGAATCTTCATGGAAGAGGAAATATTTGAGGTCACTTTGAAAGATAACCATGATCTTGAACTTAGAAAAAGTTGGGAGGAGAAAAGCATTTTAAGCATATGGAACATACAGAAAAAAAATCATATAAAGCATGAAGTTTAAGGTAATTCCAGGTGGTAAGGTTAGTGTATCTGGGTCATTATGATATTTTTTGCTTATACAATTATTGTCCAAAAGGTTATTTATTTTTAGAGTACATGTTGGAGGACATGCTTTGCTAAATATAGAATGCTTTGCATATACCATATCTGATTATTTCTTTCTTTTGCTAGACAACAGCCTATCTTTATAAAAATCAAAGGATTTGTTATGGTCTTTATAAATACTGAAGTTAACATTAACATCAATAATTGTATAATATAATGTGTTATAAGTTGAAATATCCAAAATATATACATCACACACATGGGTAGATTTAAAGGTATGATACAAAATACAAGAATAGGTTCCAGCTCAAGATGGCAATATAAGAAAACCCTGAACTCACTGATAAGCAATACGCTTGATAAAGAACTTAAAGCAATGATCTCAAAAATACTAACTGGGCCGGAGAAAAGAATGGAAGAACTCAAGTGACACCTTCAATAAAAAGATAGAAAATATTAAAAAGAACCAATCAGAATGGATGAATACAATAACTGAAACAAAAAACACACCAGAGAGAATCAACAGTAGATTAGAAGATGCAGAAGAATGTACCAGCAATCTGGAAGACAGAGTACTAGCATACAAGCTGAACAGTAAAAAGAGAAAAGGATTTTTAGAAATGAAGATTAAGGGATCTCTTGGACAGTGTCAAGCCAACAAACATTTGCATTGTAGGGGGTTGCTGAAGAAGAATTGAGAGAGCAGTGTAGGAAACTTATGTCAAGAAATAATAACTGAAAACTTCCTTAACTTAGGGAGGGAAATAGATATTTAAGTCCAAGAAGCACAGAGTTCCAAATGAGAGGAACTCAAGGAGGTCTACACCACAGCACATAATAATTAAAATGTTAAAGCTTAAAGATAAAAAAGGATCATAAAAGCAGCAAGAGAGAAACAAGAAGTCACCTCAAGGGAAAACCTGTAAGACTGTAAGATGATTTTTCAGCAGAAACCTTGCAAGTCAGAAAGAAGTGGCCTGATATATTGAAAGTGCTTAAAGTAAAAAACCTACACCAAGAATACTCTACCTGGCAAAGTTAACATTCAGGTTTAAAGGTGAAATAAAGAGTTTCCCAGACAAACAAAAAAATAAAGGCATTTATCACCACTGAATCAGCCTTATAAGAAATGTTAAGGGGATTTCACTATTTGCAGATGACATGATACTACATAGAGAAAATCCTAAGGATTCCACCAAAAAAAAACTACCAGAAGTAATGTATAAATTCAGTGAAGTGGCAGAATACAAAATTAGTACATAGAAATCAGAAGCGTTTCTATACACTAACAATGAAATCACAGAAAGGAAAATTTAAAAAGTAACACCATTTATAATTGTTCCCAAAAAAATATAGTACCTAGGAATAAACTTAACTGAAGAAGTGAAAGACCTGCACTCTGAAAACTGTAAAACACTGATGAAAGAAACTGAAGATGACACAAACAAATGGAAATATAGTCCATGCTCATGAACCTATTTTGATATACTGTTATGAATATGAGTCCATAGTTTATTCAGATTTCCTTAGTTTATTCTTAGTGTCCTTTTTCTGTTTCAGGATCCCATTTAAGATACTAGGTGACATTTATTCATTATGCCATCTTCAGGCTCTTCCTGGCTGTGGCAATTTCTCAGACTTTCTTTGTTTTTGATGACATTGACTGTTTTGAGGAGTACTTTTAGTATGTATTTTGTGGGATATCCCTCAGATAGCATTTGCCTGTTTTTCTCTTAGGATTAGACTGAGATTTTGAGTTTTACAGAGGAAGACCACAGATATAAAGTGCTATTTTCATCATAACATGTCAAGAGTACCATTTGATCAGCATAACTTAATAAATATTGATGTTGACCTTAATCGCCTGGCTGAGGTAGGTTTTACCAGGTTTCTCTACTTTAAAGTTACTCTTCTTTTTTCCACTTTCCACATTATACTCTTTGAAAGGAAGTCATTATGTGTAGAGCACACTTAAGGAATGGGGAGTCACCTCCACCTCCTTGTGGGGAGAAGAGCTACATAAATTATGTAGGATTCTGGACAAATTTATCTCTTCCTCCTTCAGTTATTTCATTCAAAATGATTTAATAATTATTCTATTAGTACACACTCATGGATATTTATTTTGCATTTCAGTACTATTTTATTTTGTTTGTTGCTCTAATTGTTTCAGCCTTGGCTATTTGGAACTCTTTCAATTGCCTTCTG